CTTGAGTAAGTTGTCTCACTCAGATGAACTGCTGATGGCGCCTAGGTGGTTCATTGTATGAGGTGGAGGCTTCGGAAAGAGCGGCTGGATAGCTAGCTTATATAATTTACCGCGACTCCGTATTTATCCTTCTTCCCCAGTGACAGCGTCAAAATGGTCGGGCCTGCAACTTCGAGAATTCGAAGCTGTAAGTCCGGTCATTTCGGCGTTCCACTGGTGGACAAGGATCTGATTTAAATACGGAATGTTTTGCACTTTTTGAAATCGAAAAAATTAAGTCTTCAGCAATTTAGATGTATTTAATTTTAAAAGTGGTAATTAATTGCTAAAAATCGTTTCCAGGGCGTCAGTCCCCACATTTTTGTGTATCAGATTCACCTTTAACATCTTTCAAAGTAATTGTTTAATAGGTCGAAATTTCAGTTGCGTTTTTCTATGTTTAATATTTCTACGTATTTTTTGCGTTTTAACAAAGAAATTTGAAAATTGTTTCGTTTCAAGGATTCTTTTTATTCCAGAAAAACGTGGTATTTTTCCATATCAAATACAATGAGCTTTTGTGTATAATAATGAATTTTATGTATAAAACCATTTAATTATTCAAGCGTACTACCTGCCTTCTTCTATCTGGACGGTATAACAGCTCTGATGCTCGTTGAATTCACAAACTAATTCATAATTCGTTTTATAAAATAAAACGTAATTTCTGGACAAATTAAACGTATTTGCAGTTTTCTTATCTGTACTGTTTAATGTTATGGAGAAAGAGAAATTTGCATATATTGGTGTATTTGCGGGGTATGTAATGAATGCCGAGAGAGGTGAGGATTTTGATAATTGTTTCATTTCTAGGACACTTTTTATTCCAGAAAAATATAGGGTATTTTTCTATATTAAATNTATTTATACGTTATTTTCGTGTTTTAACAATGAAATTTGCTTTAATTTAAACTATAGACAGAAACAGTTTGCAGTACGTTATTCTTCACATTTTTATGCATTACATTCACCCTTTGGTACTTTCAGATTAATTGTTTAACGAGTTGAAAATTGAGTTGCGCTTTTTTATGTTTTAAATTTGCTCACATGTTTCTACTTAACTTTCTTCGCCTTTTAGATGTTTTAATATAATTGTTTAAAGGATTGAGGATTCGGATGGCGTTTTTACCTATTCACGTAATCTTCGTGTTGTGACGAATTTTATTTCATTCAAGTTGTATTTGAGATTCTGTTGCCAATAATACGTTAGATTTGCTCATATTTATGTTCGTTTTTAGTTACCTATTCGTTTTATGTAAAGGCTTTGTTTTCATATCTAATATCATTATTGTTTCAGGTGCATTTTGCAATTAGTCTTCGATCATGGACTACATTCGATAACAGATCAATTTCGGGATCGACATTCGACCGCATTTCCAGAAAAGGAAAGGTAGGTTTTCATTAAATTATTTTCTGCTTACCCACTTGTTTTAGAGCGCATTTTTTTACGGTTACAATCTTTAATATCTTCTCTTATATATTTTAATACTTCTTTCATAACGCTGTTACTTTGTCTTGTCCCTTCTCTTTCCTTCAAGTCACATTTATAGAACTTCTTTTCTTTTTTTTTGTTTAAATTTTTCGTTGTGTTCTTTGTTTCTAGCTACGTTTACAGTACTTTCAAAATTTTATTTTCCCTCTTGACAGACTATTTAATTCTTGAATGTTTTGGTATAAATGTTACATTTTTATTTTCAGCTACATCTTCTAGTCCAGTAACCGAACAATCAGTGATCAGCTTCTTCCAGAATCACAAGCTTGCGTCAAGAGTGGTACAGTTGTATATGCTTTTAATTAGTTCTTCTCTTAGTACTTACCTACTTTCATTACTTTCTCTGATATTTCTTGCTTCTAATTTTATATTTACTTATTTTCCTTTTTTATTACTTTTTCGTATCTCATAATTTTATTTACGTTAGTGATTTTGTTTAAAACTTAATTTATTACCATTACTTTTATTTTTACTTTTTATTCAATTTAAAACGTTCTCTTCTACTTCTTTTTTCAGATATTTTCTTTCTTTTACTAAATTAAAGACTTTTTTCCAGACACTCGAGAGACATTAAGCATCGTGGGATAATTACCAATCGTTGGACCACTTCAGGAACATTGTTCGTCGTGGGAGATTACCTTCGTCAACTACAAGGGACCATTTCTATTGGGTGTCTATCTATTTGCAAAAGTATAAGTCAAGCCTATGAATGACTATCTAAGATGTTATAAGATACTTTTAATTACATTGGAGACAGTTTCTGACTATAGAATGGTGGCAGTTCCATTTGGAAGGTATCCCCGGGGGTAATGCGCCTCTTCCAGGATCGCCAGCGTACTTCAAGAGAGGTAAAAGCCTGTAATTACCTATTTCGTTACTATTTATTTTCATTGCTTTTTTTAATATTGTTTGTCTCCTATTTTATTCTTTATTTACTATAAGATTTTCTCAGAACTTAATTTCGTCTTTTAGTTACCTCTTCATATGTGTCTTAATTATGTTTACTTCATTGTTTTACCAGAACTTAAGTTATTACTGTTACTTTGTATTTTTTACACATTTTTTAAATCTTTATTTAGCTTAAAACTTTTTGCCCTATTTCTACATTTTTTTAGATATTTTCTTTCTTTTACAAATTTCAAGACTCTTTTACAGATTCTCGAGAGACTTCAGCCATCCTGGCATGATCACCAATCCTTGAATCACTTCAGAAATATCGTTCATCGTGGAACCTTCGTCAACAACGAGGGACCATTTCTAACCTGTGCGAATAACTGCCAACCGTAAGGGTCATTTACCAATGACTGTGATGGTCTTCCAGCAGTTAGGAGTCCCTTCCAACATCGAAGGTCATTACTTATAGGTAAGACTTATCCCTCTGCAAACAGGAACACCTTCAGGTGGTTCGAGGGTGATTCTAACCGTGAAAGGGTGGTACCTGTACCACATCTTCCACAGATATGATCATCATCAAACAACTTAAAGGTATTTCTATTTGCAAAGGTATACGTTGATATAATGTTATACGGTACTTCTAACTACTTGGAGACAGTTGCCGACCATGGAATGGGGGTGGTTACCACTTAGGAGATATTCAATTCTTATTCGAGCGTACTACCTATCTTTTTCTCTCCGAATGTGTACTCTCTTTATCTGAACGGCAAAACAACACTGCTCTAGTTGTGTTAATTAACCAATTGAAAATTTGCTTTAAAAAAAGGAATGCTTAACACATATCTTAATACCTTGCATAATGAATCCAGGGAATGGTGAGCCCATTCATTCCTTTCTAGAAAGGATACTTCATAATAATTCCTCGATGATTAATATTTATACGTTATTTTCGTGTTTTAACAATGAATTTTGCCTTAATTTAAACTGTAGGCAGAAACAGTTTGTAATACGTTATTCTTCACATTTTTATGCATTACATTCACCCTTTGGTACTTTCAGAATAATTGTTTAACGAGTTGAAAATTGAGTTGCGCTTTTTAATGATTAATATTTATACGTTATTTTCGTGTTTTAACAATGAAATTTGCTTTAATTTAAACTATAGACANATCAGATTTGTGCAAAGGAAAAATCAAATGGTAAATAACATAAGACAAAAGCTCTTTTAGATGTAATCGTAGAAAAAACAGTTGCAAATCGCAAAGGTAATTTAATTTTTGTAACTACTTTTATTTATTCATCTGAATCGTATACGATTATTGAGCCGATGAGTCGTGAATTCGAAGGTTACGATTAGTAAAGTCATGACAAAGACTGTGAGGAGATAAAATATGTTCACATCTTATTTCCTTTGATGTAGCACACTTAATATTCTAGCCAAGAAACAGCTCGAGCAGTCGTAAAGAAAATTTGGTTTCTACTTAAAAGTAATCAAATTTTCACAGCATAAATGTTACATCCTTTTCAGGATCACCCAATAATAAATTTATCTAAATTATCTTCTAGACTATTTCAAATAATATTATAAAGGAAAATGAAAGTAGGTAGAAATTTGGGATTTATGTTTTTAATGTATGTGAAGATAACTTTGGATTAGTGGAATAAACGGTATATTATTGCAATCGTCTAATTTACACAGAAACAAGCTAATTTTCCTATAAGTGCTCGTAAAATATGAACATTATTGACGGATGTACCACCCTACATCTTGACAATAAAAGACTGCTGGCGCAATCGATCAGCGTAATGCGGAGAGTTCCTGAACTAACACTCAAAGTTACCATGAATTTTAAAAAAATAATAAAATGACAAAACTGCTTATATAAAATTCGTATTGATCATTAATACGGTCAACTTCCATTTCATGTTCATAAATAGGACAAGAATTTTTTTGTTGCTCAAAAATAGGATCCAATGTGTGGGGAAGGGTTTTTCTTTCCTCAGGAATAAAATATTTACAAGTTCAAGAAAATTCATTTACTTTTTCATAAGTTACCTCAAATCATTATCCCATCAACTTGAGGTAATTTATAGTGGATGAAAAAAGTAAACGAATTTTCACATTACTATTGACCACTATTGAATGTCAAAGTGTTTCATACATATATGTTACTTATTTTTATCTTGCATATAAATACGCTTTTGAGAAAAGCATTTTCTATTTGTAAAATGCAAGATACATTTTTTCCGTTAAAAGTTTTGCTAGTATCGCCGAAGAAACATTATATAAAACAAATGAAAGTTGCTCACATTGGCCATTGAAAGTATTAGAACCTTAAAAAGAGGACAGAGAGATATTCCATGAATGCCTACTAATTCTTTAACTAAAAAGAGCCCAAAAAATTCTAAACTCCTTGGAAACGGATAATCTGAATTCGTGGATCGATATTATTTTCCGGATTTAAAATGTCATGATCCATGGAATTTTGAAGTTCCTAATTAATGCCAAATTATCACTTATCGTACCTTTAGCAAGGAACTACGAAATTCTACGAATTACGTCAAAACAATCCGCAAAACAATATCGAATTGATATACTCCAGCCGTGTAAAACTNCCCGCACCGGCCCACCCTCCCCCGATCCGGGATCCGGAGTCTTCGAGGTCCAGAAACTCCAAGGTTGGTGGACGTCGACATTTCAGGATTCCAAGTGCGATTACTTCGAATTTCAAAGACTTCGAAGTTTGAAGATCCCGACGTACAAAGATTTCGAAATTGGAGTATCTGTGAAGTTCAATGTTCCGAGATTAGAAGTTTCGCACTTTTCCAAGTGCCCAAAATTCGAAAATTTCGAAGAGAGAAAACGCCAAAGAACCTCTGACGTTTTCCATCCCCTGGATTTTCGAACCCTGGAAACCCTGAAGTACAAAGACTTCTTATCGCGACGTTGAACCCCACAGACTTACCAATTTCGAGGTCTCGCACCCCGTGATGTTCGAACTTCGAAGCCTTCAAAGTTCGAAGTATTCGTACCTGGAGATCCTGGAATTCGATGTCCTCCAATCCTGGAGGTTCAGGACCCCGAAGTCTTCGGATCCCGGAGTCCGCCCCTCGACTCCCGCGATGTCCTCGTGGTCCTGATGCTCTCCGTTGGTCGTTGATGCCTTGGTCGAATTCTACATCTCCATTGGATTCGATGCCCATCGCTGGTCCTGGGTAGCTTTCAGACTGCACGGCTTTGGTTGATCCCTGCTTATCCCGACGTCCCGTCTTAATAGCTGAAAGAAATAATTTAAAAAGTTTTAATGTGAAAAAATCTAATAAAGTTAAAATTAATAGACAAAAAAGAATTATTAAGAAAAGTTTTATTGTAAGAGATGTAAAAAAGATTGTAGAAATAAACTGAAATAA